AAGGGAAAGACCTGATCGTCCCCCAGCCTGACACCCGTGACGGGTCTGTGCTGAGGAGGACTAGTATAAGAGGAAAGAAGGCCTCTTGGCAGTTGAGATAGAGAAAAGCATCTGTCTCCTGCCCGTCCCTGGGCAATGGAACATCTCGGTGTAAAACCCGATTGTATGTTCTGTTTACTGAGAAAGGAGAAAACCGCCTTAGGGCGAAAGGTGGGACTTGCTAGCAGTGCTGCTCTTTATGCACTAAAAAGGTTTATGGAGATGTTTACATATGCATATCAAGGCACAGCACTTTTCCTTAAACTTATGTCACAGAGATCTTTATTCATATGTCTTACTGCTGACCTTCTCCCTACGATGATCCTATTATCCTGCCACTTCCCTTTTTCTTTGATGGTAAAGATAATGATCAATAAATACTGAGGGTCCTCTGTATGCTGAGCACCGGTCTCCTGGGCCCACTTTTTCTTTCTCTATACTTTGTCTCTGTCTCATTTCTTTTCTCAAGTCTCTCGTTCCACCTAACGAGAAACACCCACAGGTGTGGAGAGGCAGGCCACCCCTTCAGTAGTTAAGTCAAAGTACCCCTGAAGATACAGAAAATGATGAAAATTGATGAATGAGTCAAACTAGGAAGAAATAGTCACTTGCCTTGGTTCGACTTTGGCAGTTTTCTTAACAAAGCAGGTAGAAGGGTGCACCTGTTCCAGATTCAGTCACAAGGGGCAGGCATGTACCAATCTCCTCCACCTTCAAGTGCTCCCACCACCTCCGCCTCCCACCATGCCATAAAAGGTACTCGTTCATTCCTTTCATCATTGATGAAGCACCCATCACATGATCACTTATGGATTGTCTTCTGTTCTAGGTGCCTGTGGACACAGCAGTGAGAAACAGATATTTCTGCCCTACTGAGTTTACAGTTCAGGGGTGGTGGTCGGTAGTCAGTAACAAGTGAAAAGTGTATGGCACATATTAATAGGTGCTATGGGAAATGAATACATCAGGAATGGCCGTGGTGGGGCGGGGGGGGGGGGTGGAAGTTTGAAGTTAGAAAAGGCAATTCCAGAAACAAGTAGAAGCTGTGGGGTGGTGGCCTGGAGGCAGTGGAGTGCATTCTGGTTGGTGCAGCCTGGGGACAGAGTCCTGAAGTCAGGAGTGGGAAGAGTGATTGCACCAGCCAGATAAGGACTATGTGGAAGCCATCTTTTCTCATGGAACCACATGTCTTCAATACCTTTCCAAATCCATTCATTCTTTATCCCAGGCTAACAGGCTGTTTCCCTCTGACCACAGGGACTTCATACAACCCAGATGGGATTATTCTTTTATTTGTTCAGGAAAAGGCATTTATTGAGCACCTACTCTGTGCTAAGCATTTGTTCTAGAAGCTGGAGATAAAGTGATGCAAAGATACAGTCCTTGCCTTCACGGAACTTATATTCCAGGGAAGACAGTCATTAAATAATGAGATATGTAAACAGACATAGAACATGAAGTAGTGTTAACTGAGGTCAGGAGTTCGAGACCAGCCTGACCAACATGGTGAAACCCCATCTCTACTAAAATACAAAATTACCCGGGCAAGATGGTGCCTGTAATCCCAGCTACTCGGAAGGCTAAGGCAGGAGAATCGCTTGAACCCAGGAGGCGAAGGTTGAAGTAAGCCAAGATTGCACCATTGCACTCCAGCCTGGGCAACAGAATAAGACTCCATCTCAAAAAAAAAAAAAAAAAGCAAAAAAAAAAAAAAAAAAAAAAAAAAGCAAAAAGCAAAGCACAGCAAGGAAGTAATAAGCACTGGGGGTGGGGACAGGAGTGCTATTTGGTAAGGTGGCCAAAAAAGGCCTCTCTAAGGAGGTGTCATCTCAATGAAATGAGAGGACCCCACGCAGAGGGAACAGGAGTTATCAATATGAATACACCACAGCGGGTGTGCTTGAGTATTGAGGAAAAGCATGGAGATCTGTAGGCAGGACAGTAGGTGTGGCAAGAAGGTATTTCCAAGATCAGAGAGGGGAGCAGGACCAGATGGCATGGGACCAGATGGCATGGGACCAAGTAGGGAAGCAATGACAGGGTGGAGAATGGGAATAGCAGGATCTGCCTGGTAGCTTAGAGGGATCATGCTGGCTGCCGTGTGAAAAACAGACAGGGCTGGGGCAAAGAGGAAAATAAATTGCAGGCATGTCTTGCAGGCATGTGTCTCGGATAGACGGGTGGTTCAACCAACCTGGTGGTGGTAGAGGAGGTGAGCAGTGGTCAGACGGGATTTTCAGAGGGCTCAAGTTGGTGGCATCATGCAAGCTGAAGTGTGAGGCATGAGGCATGATCAGAATGCAAGCACAGAGTTGTTCCACGCTGGTGGATACCTTGCCTCTCAGATGCTCTGTGATGTGCATGGCGGAGCCCAGCCACTGAGTGATGGACTCTGAATGAGTAAGTGAACATGAGAGCCTCTTTGATGCAGAGCGTATCTTCACATCTTGCAGTTAGGAAATAGTGGCCAAAAGATGCTAAAAAGTGTCATCTGTCCAGCAGGTCAATTATGTTTGGGTTTCCAACAAACAAGAAGCAGGTATATTGCTTTATTTTTCTCCAGGCAGGCAGATATGTATAGCAGTTCTCCCTTATCCGTGGTTTCTCTTTCCACTGTTTCACTTACCCATGGTCAACCAAGGTCCAAAAATAGTAAATAGAAAATTACAGAAATAAACATTCCAGAAGTTTTAGATTGTGTGTTGTACTTAGCAGTGTGATGCAATCTAGCATCACCTGCTCGGGACCTGAATTCTCTCTTTGTCCAGCAGATCCATGCTGGATACCGTCCCACCCATGAGTCACTTAGCAGCCAACTCGGTTATCAAATCCGACTGTGGTGGCAGAGCTTGTGCTCAGTAACCTTAATTTTGCTTACTGAGCTTGTGCTCAGTAACCTTTATTTTGCTTAATCATGGCCTCACAGTGCAAGAGTAGTGATGCTGGCAATCCAGAGATGTCAGAGGAGCCAGAAAGTGCTGCTCTTAAATGAAAAGGTGAAAGTTCTCAACTTAATAAGGCACAGAAAGATAAATATTGCATTGGTTCATACTTATATGTGGAATCCAGAATAATCAGACTTGAAGAAGACAATAGAATGGTGGTTAGAGAGGCCAGGAGTTGAACGGAACGGGGACAAGATGGTGAAAGGGTACAAAGTCAGTTTAGGACGATTATGTCTCCTCCCTTTGACATACATCACACGCTGTATGAAGGCAGTAAATAATGTATTATAATTTCAAAATTACTGAGTACATTAAAAATATTCTTACCACAAAAATAAGTGTCTGAGGTAATGAATACATTCATCAGCTCGATTTCATTATTCCAATTGTCTTCATAAATCATAACATCACTTTTTTACCTCATAAATATACACAACTATAATTTGTAAATTTACAAAACAAAAGCAACCTCCCCACGCGCCCTCTGCCAGCTCCTGAAGGCGTGATCAAGTGTTGCCAGCTCTACCAGAAACGGTGTGAACTCGGCACAGGATGATTAATTCCAATGACGTCACACGCACTCCTGTTCTTGTATACCGTTTTATTGTGGAACGAAAAGAGAATCCATGAATTGTACAAGCGTGAAGGCTGTAACAAGTTGTAGAGGCGCTTTCCGGACATTCCTATGCATTGTTCTCCACAGTAAACAACCTGGGGGCAGCCAAGAGGGAAGATTTCAGATAAGTGGAAACAGTGATGGATGTTATCTACCTACAATCCCTTTAGACATTTTCAAGAGAACTCTGTTTAAATGCTGTTCAACTCTCCCACTCCGGCCAATGAATCCCTAGACCAGCAGTGCCCTGGGAGACTGAGTAATGAAAACATCCTGTCAAGCTTCAAGACCTTTGGGCAGATGGGACTCTGCAGACCCGTGGGAGTACAAAGGACCAAAGAGCTACAGGTAACCCTGTTTGGTACCTGAGGCCACACCTGGCCACAGGATAACTCGCAAAATTCCCAGAACTCGTCTTCTGGCTCTTAAAGCCATTGCACATGTGGAGGCCAACTTCTGAATTCAGGAGATATCAGGATGGACAAGTATTTTTCACCCAAGGGACAGGAATGTGAGCTCTGTGGGCTGGTTAGCCCAGCACACCCTTATTCCTCACTTCCCTTCTCAATACAGCCTTGAAAAAGCTGTGCTGTGTAGCAGAGCAGCGGCGACCCACAGTAGTGACTACCGAGGTACAGTAATGGGGTGGGGACCAGAGGTATCCGGTTGGTATTAAGTCCAGGGCTACCCTTTCTGAAGGAAATACTTCCAATAGTGTATGTTAATGTGAACTATAAAGATGCCTGTGACTTCTTGGACTTCTGAAATGCTCATACGCAATGGGGGTGAAGGGAGGACAGGGGCTGGCAGTCCAGCTTGAGACTCCCTAGGCAAGCATGTGGAATCCCCAGTCCCAGCGCACAGCAGCCGGGTCCTAGCTATTGGCATTGTTAGAAGGACTATGGCTGAGAATGTGTGGGGTGGGGAAAATCAAAAATGTAGGCCCTGGCTCAGTCACCACGAAGGGGATGCCACGAGGCCCTTGAGGAACCTGAGCTCACAGAACTACAGACAGCAGATCATGAGGTTCACGCTGTCTGGCCACAAAGTGCCACTCCGCTGGGCAGGTGGAGTGTGTGTGTGGTGTGGGGGTAAGGAGGAAGCTGTGTATGTGTATACCCATGTGAGGAAGAAGAAACAGAATGGAGGGTGGGGATGGAGGAGAGATTATATATAAAGACCCTCAACGGGAAAAATATTCCTTTTTTGTGTTCACTGACTGAGCTGATGCAGTTCTTATTTGGGGAACATTTTGGGTATTCTTCTTAAAAAAAACCGTCAAGTGATCACTGAGCACCAAATTCATTTATAATCTTGTTCTAAGCCCAGCATTTTCTCTTCTTGTGATGCAGAATTACCACAACATGCTCGCCTGGCCGTGGAGGGAAAGGAGCGGTGGGCGTCCCCATGCGCTCAGCTGGGAGGGGGCGCCGCGTCCTCGTCCCCGCGCGGCCGCTTGCAGGTGAGCATGAGCAGCAGCAGCAGCGGCAGGTGCCACAGGCTGCAGAAGAACAGTCTCCGCGAGCTCCTGCGGTCTGCGTCCACGTAGAAGCGGAAGCCGAGGTAGGAGATGTAGGCGTTGATGGGAAGGGCCACGAAGGGGAAGGTCCACGTGGTGATGTCCAGGACAGGAGCTGCTGCGGACAGCACGAGCAGGGCCAGGCAGTGGCGCAGCGCCACGCGCCGGCACAGGCCCGGATGGGTGACCGACATCATGCAGTAGCCGCCCCGGGAGTAGTCTTCACGGAGGCCCCAGCTGAGGGCGTTGAAATGAGGAAACTGCCAGGAGTAGAGGATTCCTCCCAGGAGAAATGCACCTGTGTTGGGGTCAGGGCAGGAGAGGGAGACAGAGGCAGTCATCACCAGAGATTTCCAAAGAATGGTTTCCTCTCCTGGGACAGTCTGCCTGGCAGCTCAGAAGCTCTGCCACCCTGTGCTCTCATCACTGCCTGCCTATATCACAGGGTGGCTGGGAGACAGGTGCTTACATCAGGCTGGTGGGGCAGCCGATGAGCTAAGATGCCTCCTTTCTCACCTGGGGGTGCCTGCGTGCCTGGGGGCAGGAGGCTGTGGGGTCTGGCTCAGACCCTGCTTCACAGGAACGCTGCCTGCGCTGCAGAACCCTTAGCATCGGTGGCTCCTGCCCACCTGGTGCTCCTCATGCCTTCCCACATTGTGGGGAGGAAAGAAGCCCCTACACACGGACAAACACCGTAGGGAATTCAGTATCTACTTCAGTACCACCTCCGGGTGCAACCTCTGTGCTAGAGCGCTGAGCTCCATTTCCGCCTGCTGGGACCTGGGTGTGTGGCTTCAGGCAGGTGGAAGCAGTGCTGTAACCTGGAGGATGCTGCGAGTCAGCTCTGCCTGTTCTGTGAACCCTGGCTCCCTTCCCAGGGCTGTTGGCGCTCCCGGCTCAGCACTGACACAGAGCTGGATGTACCTGCAGACGGGTTTGTCACACCCTGGCTCTGATCTGTTTACCTGTTTCACCAGGGCTTCCAGGGCACATGCCTGCCACATTCCTCTCACCATCCCCCAGAGCCTGGCACAATGGCACAAGCAGGAGGTGTGAAAAACCACATGTGCTAAATAAAATGAGTCATAAAGGCAAAACGGTCCCAGAGTACAATGATAACTCGTCCATGTCTTTGTAGGTTTTCAACAAGGACATAATACCCTAAGCACCATTTTGCCCCTTTCTCTGGAACAGTCTCCCCAGCACCCACACGGGTGGAATGAAGGCTGCTGTCCGCTGAGCTCCTATTATATGACAGACCCTACTCTCATAGTTTGCCCCATTTAATCCTGACCATTGGATTTTGAGGTAGATTCATAATCTTCATTGAAAAAAAAAATCAGACAATGTCAAGTTCTCCAAAAAGAGGTGGAAGGGCAATTCAAAACATGGCTGCTTGATTTTTAGGCCAGCGTCCTTCTATGACATGCACGAAGCCACCTAAGGACAGGCAGCAGGGTGGGGGCTGGAAGGCAAGGGTTGGCTATTCCTGTGCAGGTGATTGAGTACTCACGCCAAGAATGCTCCCTGGGCGCCTACCATGGGGTAAGCACCGTGCTAGGCGCTGGGGATACCATGGCGAGCAACAATCTACACGTGCTCCTGCCTGCACTGAGCAGACCCTTCGCTCAAGGAGGTGGACGTCAAGAGCCACACTAGTCACTCTAAAGTCACCACTCCAAATGCAGTGAGGAAAAGAGCATGGTGCAGTGAAGACACACAACAAGAGATGACTGAGTCTAGGGGACCAGAGGAGGCTTCTCTGAGGAAGGGATGTCTGAGCTGAGCTGGACAGAGTGGTGACCTTGTCAAGTCAGGGCTAGTGGAGGGGACAGTATTCATAAAGGCCTTGGGGCTGGAAGGTTTGAGGTGTGGGTGGTGTAAAAAAAAAGATTAACACGTGTTAGGAGTCACAGAACTATATATGTTAAAAAAGTCAAGTTTACCGCATGAGGAAAAAAAGGAAGGTGGTGTGGCTTGGCTGGAGTGCTGAGAATGACAGGGAAAGTTCTTCAGGACAAGGCTGGCTGGAGTGCGGTGGCATGGTCTCAGCTCACTGCAGCCTCGATCTCTTGGGCTCAGGTCATCCTCCTATCTCAGCCTCCTGAATAGCTGGCACGATAGGTGCACGCCACCAAACTCAGAAAACTTTTTAAAACAATTTTTTGTAGAGATGGGGTCTCACCATGTTGCCCAGGCTGGCCTTGAACTCCTGGCCCCAAGCAATCCTCCTGCCTCAGCCTCTCAAAGTACAGAGATTACAGGCATGAGCCACTGCACTCGGCCTTGACTTTGCTATTCTAAAAGCAACAGAAAGCCACGGAAGGATCTTAACGTATATGAGTGCTGAGCATGTGTGCCTGCGTGTGTGCGTGTGTGCACCTATGTGTGTAGGGGGTGAGGGGAGGGGCACCAGTGCTAAGTGATCCTATTTGTGAAGGACACACTGGAGGGGCCTAAAGCAGGTATGGAAGGATCAATCAGGAGATGAGGAGTGAGGGGATGAAGGATGACAGTAGTTAGGATCAGGATGGTGACAGATGCCAAGAAGGTGAATTTGGAAGGAATTTGGGAGGCAAAGGGACAGGATGTGCATGCAGTGTAAGTAAGGAGGGGAGGAGACAGGGAGGAGGTATCAATAGCAAGTCCTGGGCTTATGGGTCCATGGAGACACCACTCATTGAGACAAGCAGGGAAGAAGAGGAGAGGAGGTTGTAAGTGTGACCTTGGGTGTGTTCAGTCTGAGATGCCTTTGGGATATCTAAGGGGAAAGTCACAAAGAGGGTCTGGCAGCCAGAGTGTGGGTATGGTCTCTGATAAGCAACTGTAAGTGTCTTTTCCTGAGTAATCCAGGCAGACATTTATGTATCTGCATTTCCTACCTGAGGTGAACTTCTTAGGGTATGTTCACTTACCTGTGAATCTCCAGGCATTAGAACATAGAAAGTAAGTAATAATATTGTAGTAAAGTGCGCCCAAACTCATCGTGGGAGCCAATGTGGAAAAAAAGTGGATTTACTCTAAGCTATCCCCAAGATCACTGTTTCCCAACACTGGCTTGGGAACCCGTCAGGCGAACTGTAGGATTCTGTCTACCTTCTCCTTCCCCTCCTTTGGAACTGCCTTCCCATGGGGTCCCTGGCAGAGAATTGAGAGTTCACCAACCCACTGTGTCATCTACCCTGGAAAGCGCCATCCTGCCCAGAGGGAGAAGAGGTTGAGGATTTGTAACCACAGTCCTATTTCAGGTAATGAGGATCTTTTAAGCCTCTGGTCTGTGGGAATGTTCAGAAAAAGGGAGCTGGGGGCTATTGCTAGGCAGAACTCACCAGGAGACAGAGCACTTTACATAATGCAGAATACTTCAGAAAATAAGTCTGAGGCTATAAGCCACTGAGGGGCCCCTGTTTGTGCAAATGCCAATGAGCATGAGAAGGAACCAGCTCCTCCTTTAATCTCTGATCTGTATTTCTCAACAGCGGAGAATGCAGAGTGACACTAGGGGCAGGCTTTGCAAGTCATCTAAAAGAAAGGAGGAGGATTTTTAATGCACATTGTTCTGGAGAGAAACTTAATCATTTCTGAGTTACGTTTATCAGGCAGGGCAGTTGTAGTTTACCGAGTGGAATTTGTGTGGGTACAGATGATTTAAGAGGGATGAGGGCTTCCTTTTATATCCATGAATAGTTTTCTGTGGCTTCCATAAGTCAGTCAACCCCTTTTCAGTCTTCCAGTATGGGAGGAAATATAACAAAGACCTGATTTTAGGGTCCCTATTTCAGTAGGGTTACTGTCAAATCCCCCAAATTCATTTTTAACCTTAAATTATGTATTTATACATACATATATATGTGTATATATAGTTGAGTGTGTTTGCATGAACTAAGATACATACGTGTATATATATGTATAAAAATTTAATTTTAACGCTGATAATAGGAGCAGCTACTATTTATTGAATCATTAACCTGGTAAACAGTTGACAGGTGTCTCACATGTAGGCACAATTCTGGGTGCTAGAAAGGCAGTGGCAATCAAGACAAAGTCCTGCTTAAAGTCTAGAGGGAGATGGACATAAACATAAGTAACAGTGCTGATCGCTATTTTGAGACTAGACTCAAAACAGGGTAATGCAATGGGGGTGACTTGAGACTGAGTGCTCGGGGAAAGCCTTTCCATAGGTGATATTTAAGCCATGACTCAACTAATGGCAAGCAGAACTCTATCAGATGCTGGGAAAGGTCCCAGTAGGCCTCTGGGACAGCATGGAGGCTGGAATGAGGAAGGGAGAGTTACAAGAAGGGGCTGGGAAGGCATCTGGAAATCAAGATAAGGAGTGGGGTCTTCCCCCAGCGCAGGGGGAGAACAGGCTGGGAGTCGAGAGACAGAGGGGATGGCAGAGGGGGGTTATTCAGGTGGGGAACCCTAGGACAGACACTAGTGAGTGTGCTCATGGTAGAGACACGACCAGTTTTATTTTTGACTATTTTAACTTTGAGGTACATGATAGACATCTCAGTTGAAATGCCTATGGCTGTCATGTGCCAGGCAGTTACACATATGCTTTCTAATCTTTACAACAACCCCGCCTATAGGTACCATTATCATCGTTTTATAGATGAGAAAGATTAATTTGCCTGATGATATTCAGCACTACTGGCACAAGATATTAGCACCTTCTGTTAGAATGTGATTGGTTATCTGGGGCAACATAGCAAGACCCCATCTCTAAAAAAAAAAAAAAGAAATTAAGCAAGGGGCCACATGCCTATAGTCCGACCTACTTGGGAGTCTGAAGAGGGAGGATTGCTTGAGCCTGGGAGTTGTAGGCTGCAGTGAACTATGACTGCACCACTGTACTCCAGCCTGGGTGACAGAGCAAGACACCAATTCTTTTTTTTTTTTTTTTTTGAGACGGCGTCTCGCTGTGTCGCCTAGGCTGAAGTGCAGTGGCCGGATCTCAGCTCACTGCAAGCTCTGCCTCCCGGGTTTTTACGCCATTCTCCTGCCTCAGCCTCCCGAGTAGCCGGGACTACAGGCTCCC